AATCTTCAAATACAACATTTGTATTTTCCCTGCAGATTTCCAAAGGTAGAGAGTAAAATCTTTACAGAATTTTGGGGTCTAAATGTTACTGTTTGAGAGGGCATAATTGCAAGGAAAAATGTCCACTTCATCTCTTGTGCTCCACTTTTAGTTTAAAAAATACTCTGAAAATATATACCTAAAAAAGAAATAGAACAGGAGATGGCAGATTTATTGTAGCTGTTCACAACTTTTGATCATGCTTCAAATACCAGTTAGCATGAAATGAAATACCAATGATCAGAAGTTCAATGACCCAGAGATGCATTAGCAAAGTCTCATTTCAAGTGTGCCAGCTTGAACATGGTGCATTTTCAAGATGCCAGGCATGCACAAGTCCATTACTGGAGCTCGAAGGGCTACTCTGTTGTACTTGTGTAGGAGCATAGAGGTATAAACCTGACTCACACCATGGGCTTATAGGCTACTGTCATCAGGAACACAGTGTGAAGATGTACTCAATGTCAGTTCCAGTCATTACTGGAACAGGCACATGTTATTTTAGTCTAGTCCATAAGGCAGAAAATATTTAAAATAAAGAGACACAGTAGGAGAAGTAGTAGAAGTATATATGTCAGCTAGCTCCTGAGATAGAATTTTTACTTTTGTATGATTGCTCTCATGTTTTTGGACATTGCAATTTCTTTAAAAAATTCTGTGGGGTTTCCAGTCCCAAAACTTATCATTTATAACTGTTCTATACACAAGAGCTTGGTTGAAAATGAGTTGCACTTGTTGAAATTTTCTTTGTTTCTCTATAAAACTAGGGAATACAAGATTCATCATATCAATGATCTATAATGTTCTTTACAAACATACAGAGGAAGGTTCAATGACCTTTAAAATCAAATAATCCTTCATTTCAAAGGAAATATGTAATGATATATCATAAACTGCTGTCCATAGTTTATTATCAGTGAATGCAAGGCAAAGTTAGAAGTCATTTGCTACTTTCAATATTATTCTTCTAATATAATATTGTACCAATATTTTTCTTAGATGTAGTTCAAAATTTCCTAACTGAGGTAAAATAACAATCACGTGGCTCATTGGCTCATATTTACGGGCTTCTCAACTGGTCATTTTGTTGCATGGTGTGGCAGTTTCAGTGCAAACTGGGCAGAAACACCATTTTAGTGTAGTGCTTTTGGTTTGCCAATTTGAATTTCCTGGCCAATGCACCAATTAGTGCCTTTAACACTGGCCAAATGCCAGTGCATCTACTATAATTATTTACTCATTTCTCTGCTGTGAGATATGATTTAGGAGGAGAGCAAAGCAGGGTCAAACTTTAAAGGGTATAAAGAAAACTTTATTAACAGGACTAAAAGAAAACTAATAAGAAATCAGAATAACTTCCAGAACACTTCTCCTCCCCCTACCACAGCCTCTTTTCTTTCCCACTGACAATGTAAAGAGACAAAACCTGGGACTTTCAGTCAGTTTACCATTTCTAAAATAGTCTTTCTTCAGTTCTTTGAGGGAGAGGAGTCTCTCTCACCACGCCATGGAGACTTCTCCACAAGAAACAATTCTCTCATGGCATCAATATCACAGCAAACCAGCCACCCAGGAAAGGAAAAATCTGTTGGTAGGGTTAAAATCCTTCCCATGCTTTTCAGCCATCTCACAGCTGCTTTCATGGGCAATGTCAACTTATGAAATATTATTTTAAGGATGAGTTGTTCAGAAGTGAAGGTTCTCTTCATGTATCTCTGAGATCATCTTCATCTTTGGAAACAGAGGTCTTTTTCTTCTTCTTCCCTGGTGGCAGAGGGTCTTCATCACTCTTATCTCTCTCTGTTCAAGCTTCTCATTTAGATCACAACTACTTCAATATTGTCTTACTTCATGGATGCTTTTGCTCATGTCTACAGTTTGAATGCTCCATCCCCCCATGTTTCATGAATTACAGGAATATTCTAATATGTCATAGTCCATCACCATGGCCTTACAAAGAATTTCAGCCCAAGACTAATGCATCTCCTCATTCTCCTCCTGTCTGGGATTCAGCTCCTTCTTTACTGGCCTTCATATCTCATATTGTTTTCTGTGTATGTCTTCACTCTTTCTTCTTTTCTCGCTTGAGAGAAAGTTGATGTTTTCAGATCTCCTCTGTACACTAGAGGGGTTAATATCTCTCCTGGGCCTGTGGATGGCCATGTCCTCTCTGCCGGGCAGTGACAGAAGCAGTCACAGTGATGGACTTCAGGCTGTGCTGGGGGCTGTGCCAGGATCTCAGGGGCCTGGGCCGGAATGGCAGCAGCCGCTCTGGCCACATGGCTGGTCTCTGGCCCCTGCTGCATTCAATTCCAGCAGCAGGACCACTCTCTGCATGGTCTGCGGAGCCACCCCTGCTCTCAGCCGTATGATCTCTGCAGCGCCACAACAGGCCCTGCAGCCAGAGTTGTTTACGGTGGAGGATCCTTCAGCAGCCACGCTGGGGGGCGGCCAGGATCTCAGCAGCCAGGCCCAAAGGTGTTCCTGGCTTTCTTAGTGGTTTAACAGTGTGTCAGTGTTCAAAACTAGACAGCGATTGGTTTTGCTGGGCATGGAGGAAGCTGTTAGCAGCTTCTCTTAGGAAATCACTTCCTCACCAAAAAATCAATTAATACAAAACCAGAACACATGGTAATAGTTTTAAGGTTTATATTTTACATATATTTTCCAACACACAGGTTTCTTCTGGCTCAGGTTATTCTGAGCACTAAGAGAGGAGTGAAACAAAGCAGAACTGAAAACCATAAACATGGGTTTGAGGCTATGTCAAAGAAGTCAAGGCAACCTAAAAATTCTCTTCATGCTTCCTGGTCTGATAAAACCTTGTAAGAATGAGAGTGTAAGTCATAAGAGAAAAATAGAGCTCACCAACAAAATAAATTCAAAAAGCCCAGGTCTGCACATCTGTGAAGTTACTGCAACCATGTAAAAATGTTTCTTATTGCTGAGGAGATTTTGTAGGAAAAATATTGTTGATCCAAACCACACTATGCAATTTCTGTAAGGAAAAGAGGATGTTGTGCATCCCTTGGCTCCAGCCCAACCTTTCATTTATTCTCAACTTTTCCACTAAGGAAATAATTTTGACATATGGAGATAGCATCTTTTGACATAACCTTCTTGTTCCACTTTTGAGAACAACATTCCTTCCTGTGTGATTTGAAAGCTTTATGATGAAAGTGAATGTGAACTACTCTATAAAGCATGATAGGTTGTACATAATATGGAGAGGACAGTCATCTTCTGTGGAAAACTTCCCCTAGAATAAAAAATAACTGCCCTGCTAGAATAAAGATAAAAGCTTGTGAGGTGGCTCAATGTATGAAAGTGAGCATCTGTGAGTCCCAGGTGTAGAAACTTCCTCTGCAAGAATTTAGCAAAGAAAAACATGATGATCTGCTTTGCATGCTTGTCAACATCAAAATGTCCCTTCCAGCAAATTTCTGATCTATGAACTGTGCTATACCACTGCAATTCTTTCCAACCAAGGAAGAGCTGCTCCAGGGAATATCTGAAGTCACAATCTTTACTATTACTGCTGTTATCACTATTGTTTCTACTACTACTACTACTAGTACTACTACTACTACTGCTGCTGCTTCTATTTTTATGACTACTGCATTTTCTTTTCTCTAAAGGTGAAAAATATCTTGGTTTTATAGCACTGCCCCATTTAGAAATGTGTCTTTTTAGACCTCTGTAAGGAAATTTATATCTATTTATGTGTATCCTCATTCCAGGAGGAATTGTGTTGCATTTCTCTCATGTTGTAAGACTAGCAATGGCTATTTTCTGAAACTCCAGCCTTTTTCTTTCTGGGCCTCTTTTCTTCATCTGTTTGAAGAAGTGGACCATATGTTCCTGATTCATAAGACTCATATTAGAAAAAAAAGTTACTGGTCATGAAAACAGGGCTTCATATTCAATAAGGGAAAAAAAAAACCCCTGAGAATTATAATGACATACTTTTTTTAATTTTTTTTTAATTTTTTTTTTAAATAATTCATCTGGAACTAAGTAGGGCATATAGTTTGTTTAGAATATAGATTCTGAAAAATAGCAAATCTTTATTTCAGAGAAACATCATCATCATCACAGATGCAAACATCTATAAAGTATAATAAAGACAAAAGCAGCCAAATAAACAATAGCTAATGTTTTAGATCCATGATATTCCTTGACACTAATATGGAAGTGTTAGTGCCATTCCCACAGCATGGGAAAACTGTTTGTTTATTTCCATTTTGTATTTCCCTAAGGACATTTTGCTCCACCAGTATAATTAGGATGACATTTGGAGCTGTTGCATTTCAATATAAGAGCAAGAGACACAGTGCAGCTTGACAAGAGATTATGATGTCAAGTCAATTGCTGCAGTAATATCAATATTTATTCCCTTGCTCCTTGTGTCTTGTTTTATTTTTGTTCCTCTTTTTCTATTAGGCATAAAATAATATCTAAAACCTATGCTATTGTGCAGTATATTTGTTTTTGTTCTAGACATCCTTGCTTTTCCCTAGTTAATTTTAATCTCAAATCCTCTCCTTTCTCAGGTAAACAGTAGTTAACTCTTTCAGTAGTGCAATTACTTTCATAGAATGAATTCTCAATCAATCTAGTACAACATTCCTAATAAGTTCTGTATCTTATTTAATCAAAGAGTGACCTCAGAACTATATTATGTATTTTGAGTTTTAACTGCTTCACTACTGGTGAATACATAAAAATAGTATTTATCCATTGTATTCACCAGCAGCGAAGCAACCAAACCTAAAAAGTGTCATTATTATAAAGGTATTGAACTGTCTAGAAATGTTGTACTTGATACATCAGGTTACATTCTTTTAATAAGAAATATTTGCCTGCCCCACGTAGCATTACCTGAGATTCCTGATAATTTGTTTTTGTGAAAAGTAAAAGAGTGCTCTGGTTAGCAGCTCATCCATGCATTCTTTTTATAGAGCAGCAGAGATGATTTGCCCTGGAGTGGAGTCAGATTAACAGGTACAACATCATATCCTGCATTTCAGCATTGTTCATGTGCAATAATATCATAACAGCAAAGCACAGCAGCACAGATGCTAGAGTTCAGAGCCAACAGTGAAGCAATTATGTATAATTGTTATTAGTTTAGCCTGATTAATTTTCTTTTATATTTGCCTGATTTTGTTGTAGAAAAAATGAGTATATTTATGTTCAGCAATTCTTTTTCTAAGAGAATATTACAGTTGCTTTGAGATATATGTCTGTCTCTGTATAAGCAGATTATCTCCTACTGAAGCACAATATCATTGATAGGATTACTTTTTAAATGGATGAGAAAATCAGCCTCCCAAATTAAGGATCTGTTGAAGTTTAATGCACTAGGTCTTGTTTGAGAATTGTGTTTATTTCTCTTTAGCACCACCAGGAATTTTTTTTGATGTATGATTTGATTAACTTTGCATGACATCGCTAGAGGGCAGTGTCACTTCCAGCCTTGATTGGTGTTCCTACGTTTCTAAGATATTTAATTGTGATTAATAATCCTTCAAATTCTATTAAGGATACATAATATTAATATAAAATTAATTTATCTTCACTATTAAACATAAGGTAAATATCAAAGGGAATAATGTTATTTCCTCTAGTTACTCTAAGTTTTTTTACAGGTATTATTTGTTGCCCTATTCTAAGGTAACCTTGGTATCTATTGCACTTTTTATCAGTAAATTAGATCAAGTTGTGAAATATCTGAACTTTCCTGAAATGAATGCTTCTAATTTTACATTTGTAGGGTTTACTTTTTTTTTACTTTTGTTTCCACTATTAGCTGTTCACATGGGGGTCCAGATAATTACTGGAAATGGAATATTTTTAATAATAACTTTTTTATGTATAGGAGAGATAAAGAGAAGGGACAGGAAAAGAGAAGGCAGTGGTGCTCTAAAGTCTTGCACTACATTGTGCTTTATTCTGGAGGAACTGGTGCTAGTATGAAGAGTCTCAAACAGGAGTTTATATATTTAGACCAGTGAGGCTGGACTTCCATTATACTCATTAGAAAAAGACACCTTTTAACAAATCACATCTGGAATGGTTAAAAATGGTCTTGAAACAGTCAAATTTGTTCAGTCAGAATATGCTGGCTGTCTCCAATGCCTCTGGCAAATCAAGCACTTCCACAGGGTTATTGTGTGCTGGGACACCAATTCACTCCTTCACGACAGCCTTGAGGCAAGCCAGATCACCCATTTTAGATAAATTGCTTAGGATGTGTCCTGTAAACCTATGAAGACACCTGTCTTTCTCTATCAGTAGTTATATTAAATGCACCACAAAATCTTTCACAAATTTAGGAGGTAGTCAGGAAAAAAAAAAACAAGAAACACTTTAAATTAGACTCCTCTCCATTAATTAAAATTGAGTACAGAGGCAGTTTAGGCTAGGTTTGAGCTGAGCTTTATGAGTACTTCCTCAAAATGATCCCAGGAGTTTCAAATTAGCCTTTCAGTGTCTGCTAGCAAATATATATCTGTGTTTCTTTACCAAAGGAGTACCTCTGATGTTCATGATTTGTTCAAGTTCCACCAAAGAATAGACACAACAGAAGTAATTCTGAGTCACTAGTCTTTTTACTTAGAACACGGATGTTTCTCTTTGTGTTAACTAGAATGTTGCTACTCCTCTCTGTCATGTTTTGCGTGCCACCATAATTATAGTGTCATCACAGCTGTTTGGAGGAGCTCTGACACCATAAGCATTTTGGCAACAGTCTAAAATGTTACATTATTTCAATCTAAAGACTGAGAGGTACTTCAAGAAACATTAACATTTAGTTTGATGCCTTTTATTCAGCGTAAGTTGCAAACAAAAGTGAAGCTTTCAGTTTGTGAAATAGAATAGTTTCCTCCAAAAATTACAGTGAGAACTGAAGTTGTTCATTTGCAGGAACATCTGTCTCAGTCATTCACAAAAGAGAACTGCACAGTATCTGTTTGAACGTTACCAGTTCTTCCAAGAGCGAGCAGTCACAACTGTATCAACATAATCAATATGCCTAAAGAAATTAAAATACACTCTTCTGTGGTAAGGATGGTAAGTTTATGACTTATGCATATTTTGTGAATATATGCAGTTAGTTAGTTCTCAGTGTTTGAAAGTTTTGTTTTATTATTTCCATAAATCTTTGTAAATAGTAATGATTTATATGGAAACAAAGCCTTGCATGTGCCCAAAACTTTAAACTGGATTGCCTAGTGGCAAAAATCCATAAGTTTTATTGAAGTTCCTGAATAAAAAATAGACTCACTTTCAAAGGTTATGTGCATCAGAGTTTTTAATGGCATCAACAGTTTTGGTAAATGAAAAACTATTAAGGTGCACCAGTATAGAAGAAGCCAACTTAAAAAGTCAAAGATTGTCTTACCTTCAGGCCAAGTTAAAAGGAGTTTTGCCATTCTATTGAAACTCTTGATTTGTTGTTTGTTTTTTTTTAAATATAAACTTGCTTTCATTCTCTTTATTCTCTACATGTTGTTGATATCTCCCTGTTTATATCCAATTTTTAGTTGTTTATGCATTTCATTCTGAGTTACTTTTCCCTCCATATTACTTTTCCCTATGCAATTTTCTAGATACATTTCATTTATATTTTGCTATTTATTTTATGAAATTCAAAGCAAACATAACTTCACAAACTAAGGCTTGTCTTTTTTACCTCCTTTTTTAAATTAATTTTAGTTAAATATGGCTAGTAGTGAAAAGAATGAATTTTTGTTTCTTTTTCTGTATTGCAAGAAAAGATAACCTAGAGACTGATTTAGAATGAAAACTGAAAAAAAGTAACAACATTAAAATCAAGAGTCATTGTTGCAGTATTTATGTTACCAGTCACTTAGTAGAGAAATATTTATGCACTATTAATGATTGAGGATTAAAATTTTTTTCACACTCATTGATAGAATTATTTTACTTTTTAGTTTTTTTCAACTATATCCATAACTGGAAATAGAGTTTTAGGAACATAAAACTGTATTCTGGGAGTGGTAAATAAGCCATATAAACAACCCACATTTCTGCTCTTACCTTTTGTTTATGCAGAGTACTCCTACCTCTTGTACACTGACGTTAACACTTATTTTTGATGTTAACACTTATTTTACAGGGAAAAACTCATGTTTTCTCTGTTAATGGAAGCAGTGGGCTCTGTCCTACTTGCAGGCTGGGAGGGCATAGGGGAAAGAATGAATTTTTGTAAATTTTCTGTAACAAGTGAAATTAAATTATCCACAAGTAGTATTTTAAATCTTCCTTTAACATCAAAGAATGAGTGATTTTATGAAAATTTTATTCTTTGCTGTTTTAAAATCCTTTTTTTCCTCTCTTGATTGTATAATATTTTAGAATCTCTCTAAACATGTGCTGCTGGGTTTTTTATTCCTTTAGGTTTTCTTGCTTAGAAACCATTTTCATGAGCATCAACTCCTACCCTTTTGCAGAGGCCTGTAAACTATCGATAACTTCCTTTCTAAGGGCTTTCTCCATGGCTGTTGGGAAGGATGAGAATTTAACAGAAAAGTTTTACAGATATGAATGCTTAGCAGAAGGTTCTCTAGAAATGAAAGCAAGCTTTGATATGTAAAAAGATGTTTTTAGGGTCAGTTGTTGCTGAAACAGCTGAGAGAACAAAGGTTTAGTCGAGTTGGAGGTTTTAGAACAAAGGTTTAGTCAGTTAGAAGGAGGTTTTATGGATAAAGTCCAACAGGTTAAGTGGTCTTCAAAGCAAGTAAAAAAGCATAGGCAGACAGAAAGATGTTTTTTACCAAAGCAAAAAGAATTTTCCACTGCATAACACATTTCAAAGTTTAACATGTCATTACTAATTCAGATGATTGGTTAGTCACTAACATAGTATGGTCATTCAAGCAGTTATGATAGGACATATGTAAATGTAAAGGTACTGTGTGTGATACTGATTGGTTGTGACATAATAATATGCATAGCACAAGAAGGAGATATAATACATTGTAACCAGAACTAAATGGGCTTTAGGACACATGGCTTGCCTATAGCCAGCAGCTGTAGGAATACCCATGACCCCCTGGTGTAATCTATGGAATAAACAGCATTAAAAAGAAGAGCCATCTGAAGTCCCCATCTTCCCACCAGCTCTTACACATGGCCATGGCATAATTGCATCCAAAGGGGTTTTTTGTTGGTTTATTTACTTTTTTCTCATCTGCATAACATTGTGTTGAGTCGAGAGCTGATAAACAAAAACATTGCAGAAGCAGTTTGAAAAATAATTGAGTGGGAAGTGTGGAGCATTTTGCATTACTGAAAACCTGTCAAAGTGTCTTGATTTGTACCACCCTGGAAGTATTAATGAAGGCTTTGGGGAAAAGAAAGACTATTTGGAATGTTTGGGGTTTTTTAACTAAATTTTGCTTTTTCCATTTTGTGTTTAGTTTATAATGGTCAACTATCACTGTTTAAATCTCATTCTACTCAGCCTCTGGACACAGCACAGAGAGACATCTTCTTTTACTGAAAACTATTAAGCCAAATAGTAGTAATAGAAAGGTTATCTCTGTAAGAAATATGAAGAACAAAAATAAATTAACAAATGGAATATTAAGGAGAATAAATTTATCCCAGTTTAACAGAATCATTGTGTGCTTTAACAACGTCTGTTCTGCAGCTTGAAGTTCCCAAATGCAATACAGCATCAATTACATTCCAACTCACGTGAGTACCTGTGACCATTTTAACAATACATAGTCAGAATATTTTCATAACTAGAAGTGGGTGTACTCAAAATCATGAGTTATTTACCCATATGTAGCTTTCTGTACTCTGTGCTTTTCTTCTTGTCAAGACAAAGCTGTATTTAGCACACATGGGAGTCTGTCATACCTGAGCTACAGGTGTTTCCTCCACACAGAATTTTACTAATTTTCTGAAAAATACAAAAGACTCTTTTCTCTGATTCTTCTTGCTGAAACTTTTCTTTCAATTACTTCATTAGAATCAAGCAGCACAATATGGCAGCACTGAACCACAAAGATGGAGATAGAATTCTATTGTATTTGATCACAAATGTCCACAAAACAGACCATATTTCACATAAAAATGTGTAGTCCTTATGTTACATTTATCCCTTAACTTTCAGAAGAAATTACTATACCTCTGCATGTTAATTCAGAATATTTAAGTGCCAGACTCATATACCAGGTGATCCATTTTTGTAAGCAGAGGATGATAAATCTGTTTATAAAGTTACTTTTGCAAGTAATTGGAAAGAATATAATTCATAAGCACACTATTTTTGATCCAAAGTCACAACACTTTTATTCTGTGCAATAAAACTAAGAACCGTTTTATCAGAAAAGTTCAGCTGTAGAGGCAAGTATTTTCTTACACAGCTGTTGAATCAGTATCACAGTTTAAAAACAAAAAAAAAAGACAACCAAAAACCAAACTTCAAAACCTACTGACTAAAGGCCATATCCTTTTCAATCTTGGCATAAACCGAGACTTATTTCAAAAAATTACTCCAGGAAAATCTTAGTTTCCTGATTTTATCTGTATATAAGCTGTATATATCAGCTGTGAGGAGGAATGACAAAATGGGGTTTCTGCTGCTTTTTTTCAGAACATCTCATTTTTTAACTACTTAGTGTTTTTGGATAAAGTCACAGGACACTTGCTGCATGTTCTGGTTTGTCTTCATCCTCTATAACATACATTCTATCACTATAGAAAAATTCTACAATCACATGTACAATCATAATGGGTTTAGTAGAGTATTATAGAGTATTTGATCAGTTATGAAACCCAACAATTAAACTGATTTGCTCTTGTAAATATATGCACTGTAACTTTTTTTTTTCCTGAAAACAGTTATTCTAATCCAGGTTCACAGAATTCTCCATTTTGCCTTGAACAGAATAATACCAGGTATATCTTCAGGTTTGCTTTCAGGCAATTAAATACTGGAATTTTCATTATGGCTTAAAAAAACCACACTAGATTTTGTAAAATATTGAGAATGAATCAGGCAGCACCACTGTATTAAAAAGCGAAGTGGAACCAGAAACATGTTTTATTTGATAAGGATCCAAGCCATCATTTCTTTTTCTTTTTCAACCCTTGCAAATAAGTAGAGAATATATTTCCTTCTTTAGTAGGTTTTGTTTTTGTTTTTGTTTTTGTTTTTTGTTTTTTTATCTAAAGTTCAATGTGGAAAATAATAAAATATTCAGGCATTTTATATGGTCTTTTCTAAGCTTTAATAAATTACAAGTTCTAAACTTGGGAGGTAGCTTGGGAGAACAATCTTTATTTACCTAAGTTTTATAATAGCTGTGGTGGTGAAGTATTACTATAATAATGTGTTGACATATTGACTGCTACTGTTCTATAATTTCTACAATTACGATTGGATGAGTAGATTCTACTTGTGCTTCAAATCAATTTGGTGATTTACTCAGGACCACAAACTCTGTCTGTTGTGAAATGAAAGATTCACCCCAGAACTGATTTTAGGTTACTAGAACAGAGTTCCCAGGGAATTGTGTCCAGGGCACTAATTCTGTTAGAGTTCAAGAAGTGGTTTGATGCTGATATATTTTATATATTAGTAAAGGCCTGTCTGTGCAAACCAGTCTTTGAAATAAGTCATGATATTAAAGGCTAAAGTCCTTGAAACTTGCCTGCAGAAGAGAGAGTAAAGCAAAACAATATCCTTATGTGTAGGAGAAAAAACGTAAACCTGTGTGTTAGCCAATAGTAGCTTGCTCTGCCTGTGGACCCTGTAAAACCCTATAAAAGGTGTGCTAAAGATAGAAATAAACGGTGTTCACATTTACTTCTGTGAAGGCTGGTGAATAAACTGGCAGACTCTCAATAGTTTGAAAATTCTCTAAGGTATGTGGCGTGATTCTTGGGGCTGTCCAGTGCAGGGTCAGGAGTTGGATATTGATGATCCTTGAAAGACCCTTCCAAAATTTCAGACATTTCTGAATACCTAAAAATCTTTCAGAATCTCTTTCCGCATTGTCTTCAAAACTTAAAAAAAATATTAATCTTGGTATCTGTGCTGCTTAAAAAAGTTATTCTGGGAAGTAATAAGTAGCATCTTAATCATGGAATATGTTATACAATCCAAAATATTTTTAACAGAATTTTAACCAATAAACTTTACAGGAATAAGATACCCCTGAGTTCATTAAGTCCCTGGATAAATTGTCTTGATAATGACTTTCATGTACAGAATATTGCTATCTCCTTGTCTATGGGCAAGTAAGAAATCATGACTGGCTCAAGTAAGAAATCATGACTGACTTTTCTTACACTTTGTATTGCTTGTGTTAGAGCACTATCATTTCTACTACTTCAACATCTCTAACTAAGTTTTCACAGGGCATTCAAAAGCAGTTAGCTTCACAAGAAGCTAAGAAAGAAGATACTAAGAACAAAGTTGTAAATTTAAGCTCCTATGTATTCAGGCACGTTTCCTCATAAAAGAGTACTTAGCTGCAAAACCAGTTTTGATGTACCATCAGCAATAAAAGAGAATCCAGAAATTCCAGTCATATCAGACATGGGACCCTCTGATTAGTTCAGTTGGTTAGAGTGTTCTGTGCTTTCTGTGATTGATTTATTTCCAGAATAAACTGAAAAATAAGAAGTGGTATTTCGTGCTCACAACACTTCTGAACAGGTCTCATTTTGCAATAGAATGGCGATTTCTGTAACCAGAATGATAGTGCTTGAATTCTTCCTTATGGAGCAGCAAGAAGGAGCACAAGAAAGGTGAAACTCACTTTTCACCAGAAGTTTGATTTCAAATTATGGTATTACTCACATCCAAGTGATTAAAAAAACCTGTCATTGTGGAAGAAACCAGATAAAACTGGGGTTTATTTACTTTTAAACTTATTTGTTGTGGCATCACAGTGCATTATCCTTATCTATATCTGTATTTTATGTTGTCTTGTACAATCACCCATCCACAGCATTGTATCTAAACAAGGATTAATTTCATATTCTTCTGTTGAAAAGGAGACAGTGCGAAAGACAAATGCATATTCATAACAGAACTTATGCACAAAAAAAAGATGGAATTTTTTTGTTATTTCTTTACAGTTTTAACCAACATAAAGGTTTGTTTTTTTTAACCCTGTAGATAGCAAAGAGATCTATACGCTGTTTCTCCCAGTGTTGTCAGATGCTGTGGAGAAAGCAGCATGGGTGCAGACCAAGCTCTACCCGATGAGTGGAGAAACATTTTGTGCAGTGGGCACCATGGACCAAAGTTCTGTGAGGAGGAAGGCAACAAACCCCTCCCTCCAGCTTCCCAAGCTTTTAAATCTGCCAACAGGACTTTGTAAGAGATTGAACAGGGGCATCAGCTCTGCCTCAGATAAAAGCAGCTGTCAGCACACAGTGCCTTTACCAGGGCTATGTGTCGAATGGTCACACACTATTTTACTTATCTTTGGAAAACAGCAGTGACTGAGAGCTATGTTACTGGGAATTTGCAGCAACTTAGAAGTTTCTGAGGATGTCATAGCAGACAATAAATACTAGAGCTGCATTTTCTGGAAAAATCTCTTGTCTTTAGACATCAGCATTCTGTCTCATTTCCATTTTAGGTGCAAGTCTGTGGACAAAATTCTTCATAGGGGACCTCTAAGCTACTTCTGAAAGAGCTGGGATCCTTCACAATAAAGCCTCCTGAAGAAATGCAGAATTACAATTTTCAAACCATAAGATAATATTGTCATTGGACTGCATTCAGTAGAACGTTTCTGAAGGTGCATTTGGGAGCCATGTGCTATGACCTCTTTAGAAAAATATAAAATCTAGACTCCTGAAGCCAGCAAAAAACTCTGCAATTCAAGTGTGTTTTATATTGTTTTGTGCTGTATCCTTGTAGATCACAGCTTTGCCATACTTAAAACCACACAAGTAATACAACAGGGTGCTCTGACACTTGGAGAACAATTAAAACCATCCATATGGCACACTTGCAGTTTATTAATGTGCTTTTGCTTAAAATAAATACATTCAGTGTCTCTAGGGAAACAGTCAAGGAATAAAGCAAAACATTTATTTCAAATCAAATCAGCACAAATACAAACTGCTCTACAACTCCAGTGTGTGGTGGTAAAAGACTGGATTCTGGTTCAGGTATGCATTTGAGGATTTTACTATTGTGTACTTTCCTCATATATATTTCCCTTCCATATAAATTTCCTGGATTTGTTTCCATTTCATCTGATCTTTCTCTTCTTCACTGCTATACAGGATACATAATACAATGTCTACATCATTAACCTACAGCTAAACTGTAGCTCAGCTTACACTGGTCTTTGAAGTAATGCTTGTATTGCTTTAATAGATAGCTTATTACTTAGTAAATAAAACCCTGAACTTTAAGGGTCCACATAAGTATTGAAAATACTTAAAAATACTTATTAAAAATAAATAAACTTTAATTTATCATTAAAAATGTTTTTATTAACATCAACTCATTCAAGAGTTCCTCCATCATATACTTATTCTTAATTTTACTTATTCCTTAGTGGACATTTGAGAAAATAAGACCAAACTTTGTTCTGCAGTATTAGGCAAATACTCATAGTCTTCATTTTAATAAACTTAACTGCACTATACATCAGTTCAAGGGAAGATTCAGCAGCAGCTGAAATTACTTATATTGAATCTCTCATAAAAATACCTTAGATATTGCCAGAAATTCTTCAGGATGATGCCCTTATAAATACTTAGGAGAATGATTCAGCTTCTTGGGAAATCAGCAATACTTTTTCTCTTGAAAAAGAAAAAAGGTTATTGATTATTGGTTTAAAACCATAGTTTATATTAATGGGAAAATGTGGGATGTAGCTCACAACTACCTGTATTAGTAACCAAGGAGGGCAGGGGTGAAGGCATGTTACCTCAGTTCTGCTAAACTGTCCTGGGAAGAGCCAATGGGCATGGGTGTTCACACTTATTATAGATTTAAAAAAAAAAAAAATGTTCCAAGCTGTTTGCTTTTTGTAAATTTGCGATACAGTTCATGAAAATACTTCATAGTGTTTTTTACCATTCATAAAATGTATTGCAGTTGTATTAAATTTAAGAGATTGGGATTTAAAACACAGATAAGCAAATAATTTCAATGAATTACATGACATGTTGACAGAAAGACTGTTTTCAATGATTCACACTATTGCAGGATCACAGGCATTGTGCTCAGTGATCGTCACACAACAGGGTATCTATCCTTTGCTCACAAATTCCCAGGACTTACCCCATGCTGAGGGGTAATGGCTTTCTCTGCTCTGTCCCATCAGCAGAACATAAAAGAAGGAGCATCATTCTGTGGAAAATCTGCAGTTCATCTTAGTGCTGGAGTAATTAAAAACTATGGCTAATTGAATGGCCCTCTGTAGTCATTATGGATGGGAATGAGGACTTTGAGTTTGCTCTCTATCAGTAAAACTTGTCCCTTCGTGGCTTGCAAACTTTGGCAATTTTCCCTCTTAGGGCTTTGATGGACTCTGGAGTAACAATGAGGAGGAAGATAAATGTGAGATTTCTCCCATAGAAAATCTTAAACAATCAACATTTTCAATGCATTTGGGAACACTGCATTTTCTGAATTACAAAGGAGATTGCTTATATATTCTGAAGGAATGCACCTGGAGAATTTAAATGCATTTTTAACTCTACTCCAGAATTCACTATGTCCACACTGTGCAGCTCTACAGAATGATATAAATACCTTGTATATAAGGTCTCATTCATTGCATGGTTTCTTTAGTTTAAAAAATAGCTTCTATAGACAAAATACAACAGCTCTTTCATTTCTGTGGTTGCTTCTATATGTAGAACAATTCCTTTTCAACATCCATTCCATTATTGTGGTCATCTGGACTAGGACAGACACTTATTAACATGGGTCATAGCTTCCTTTCAATCTGAGTGCCTGAGTTTATTTGAGATATGCAAGGACATAGGTGCAGGGCAGGGATGGATAAATGTAGCTGGGATGCATCCCAAGACAATTCCACAGCATGGAAGAGGTGTGTACCAAATACTAGTGCCTGGAAAATCATTCCAGGGCCCATTGTAGAGACTTACCGTAACGGGCCACTACACTTCTAGATAAACCAGTCAAGACTGGGCAGCTGCCAACTTTTCTAGTTGTCAGGACATATTGGATCAAAATTTCTTCACTTTTATTTCCAGAAAGTAAAGACATAATTTTACTATGTACCCTCACCATCCTCATCTTTGTTGGATTAAAAACTGGTTATTATCTCTTTTGAGAGAACCATTTTATCTAAACAAAGGAAGTTTCCTGTTAAAGAAATCAAAATGGGAATGAGCATATTCATAGACAAGAAATTGTGAATGATCTTAAACAAAAATACTGTCCTGTGTTTTAATTATATCTCTTGTTTTGTAGCTACATCTTCAACGGTTATGTGATCTAAAGTCATGGCAAAATGATTTCAAAAGTTTAAATGCTTTTACCAGATTAGAAAAATGCATTTCTTTTGGAAATTAATAAGACAAAGTAACTTTAAAAAAGAAGAAGAAAAAATGAAGAAAACACTTCAAACTTTTCAGCTTTAATTAATTCCTCATTTTCTCTTCAGAAAAGTATTGTAAAAACTTGCTCAAAACTGTCATGTGTTGACACTGGCAGGATGCTAGGCAGCCATGAAATCTTCTCACTCACTCCCCTCTGCAGCTGGACAAGAAGATGAAAAATTAACCTAACAGAGGATTTCTGAGCTGAGATAAGGACTGGGAGAGAGATCACTCGTTAAATACCATCACAGGCAAAACAGGCACAACTTAGAGATATAAGGCGAATTTATTGCTAAGAAAATCAGAGCAGGATAATGAGAAGAAAATAAGCCCTTAAAAACAAATTCCCCCCACCCCTCCATTCTTCCCAGCTGTGCAAGGGGACAGGGAATGGGAGTTATGGTCTGTTCATCACCCAGGCTTCTCCTGCTGCTCAGGGGTCGCTCCCACCAGAGACAGTTCTTCAAGAACTTCTGTAACGTGAGTCCATCTCATTAGCAACAGCTCTATGCAAGCTCTGCAACGTGAGTCCACCCCACAGGCACAGAATCCTCACCAAAACTGCTGCAATGTGAGTCCCCCCTCAGGCACACAGTCCTCCCAAAATTGCTGAGATCTGAGTCGCTCTTCCACGGGGTCTGTCCTCCAAGGACAGGCTGCTCCAGCCTGGAAGCAGGGCCCCCTCAGTCCTCGGGGTCTCCCACTGGATCACAGCCTCCTCCAGGCATCCACCTGCTCCAGTGTAGGCACCTCCCCCATGGGCTGTGGGTGATCTCTGCATCCCCTGTGATCCCCATGGGCTGTGGGTGATCCCTGTATCCCCAGTGATCCCCATGGGCTGTGGGTGATCTCTGCATCCCCAGTGATCCCCATGGGCTGTGGGTGATCTCTGCATCCCCTGTGATCCCCATGAGCTGCGGGTGATCTCTATATCCCCTGTGATCCCCATGGGCTGTGGGTGATCTCTGCATCCCCTGTGATCTCCACGGGCTGCAGGGCTCAGCTGCTTCACCATGGTCTCACCATGGCCTGCAGAGTAATCTTGGCCCCAGCACCTGGAGCACTGTCTCCACTGACCTTGGTGTCTGCAGAGTGATTAATCTCACATGCTCTTTCTCTTCTCTGTCTGGAAATAAAACTGCACCACAGCTTTTGTTTTGATTTCATCTTAAATATGTTATCACAAAGGTGTTACCACCATTTCCAGTTGGCTCAGCCTTGGCCATCAGTGGCACATGCATCAACGGAGCCATCAGGGATTGGATTTCCTGGACATGGGAGAAGATTCCAGCAGAAGCCACCTCTGTTGTCCCCCTGCTACCAAAAACTAGGTCATGCAAACAAACAGACAAACAAAAAAAACCCAAAAAAACCCACAGCAAAGACAAAACAAAACAAAAATTTAACCAGATCACAAAGAGGAAAAGAAAGGTTAAAGGGTCATGACAAGATGAGATCACACATAGAAAATTAAATCCTGGGAAAAGAAAGGTAGTTTTTTTGAGTTATATATAAAGTTAATATTGAAAAAGACCTTTATGTGGAAGTTATTATACAACCAAAGCTCAACACTACTGCTATATATATATGATGTGATCTATGATATTAGTATACAGTTTTAAATTATATGCTTGGAAAACGTACAACAGAATAATTTAAAATTGCATTAGAAACCATACTTTTTTGTAATTCCCTGAATACAGGATTTGCAGTGATGACATAATCACATCAGAATAGGGTCAGCTTGCTATGTATATTTAATCCTAAAAGGAAAAAAAAAAAGCTATAAAAAAGCTATTTGAAAGCAAAAGTGAAAGCAAAAGAAAGAAACAAGACAGGAAGCAATAGGGGGAATAAAGCCTCTATAAATTTCTATTTCAAATTAAGACAGTGATACCTCTGGACCAGTTAGGGCAAAATTGTTATGTCAGTGCAACAACTGCTTTTTCTTCAAAGGAATTAGAAAATAAAACCTTCATCTTTGAATATTCATGTTAAACTGTGCTTTGTTTCTTTTCAAAATTTTTTTCTTCTGATGTTCTGGACAGACTTTAGAATTCCATTGTTTACTCTGCACTTTAACAGTACATAATATTCCATTTACTTTCCACAAAGAAAGATCCAGTGTCTCTTGCTGATTTAATTTTGCTATTAAATTGAATTTAATATTAAAGGTTCACTCTTTAAACATTACTTTTATTTATTATAATTAAAACATCAATAAATACATCAATATTTGGTATTCTCAAGCCATTTACAAAATCCATGTGTACACATACAGGACATATCTAATTAGAAAGAAGTTGCACTGAACCCACCCTAGTATTCCATCCATGTGGATTTTCTGTTAGCATTGATTCCTCTTGATACACTAGTATAAACATGTATTTATGTTTGTATGTTGTGTTATTTATAAAGTTGTCT